CACTGGAAGTTTTTAAGAAGAGACTGGACAGCCATTTGTCTGAAATGGTATAGGGTTTCCTGCCTGAGCAGGGGGTTGGACTAGATGACCTCCAAGGTCCCTTCCAACTTTATTATTATTATTATTATTATTATTATTATTATTATTATTATTATTATTATTATTATTATTATTATTATTATTATTATTATTATTAAATGAGACTTTCCAAATTAGAGTTTAATACTATCTGTAATTAAAATTATCTAGTTGCTGAAGATAATTCTTTGAAATCAAGTAGCATTTGATGGTTGTTTTGAAAAGCAATTTCTGAAGTAACTAATGAACTAAAGTTTATTGCTATTTAAAAACAAATCATGAGTATCCTTGGTCCTCTATTACTATACAAGACTGTAAACAGAATAGTAGGCCCAGAGAAGCCTTTGCTTACGATGAGGATTTTATACCCTAGCAACAGCAATATATCTAAATTGTGAGGAAAACTGGCCACTGCAGAGACCAGTAACAAACAGAATAGTATAGTACTGAATGTCTTCCCATCCACAAATATTTACCTTCAACTAAGGATATATACCCTATTCTTTGAGTATCACCTTTCCTGAGTGTATAATACAAAATGAATTATAAACACAATACTGATGATGTAAAAACATACAAAAAGCAGAAAACAATGCGTATCTAAAAATTCATATATTTTTCTATTAAAGCTAATTTTGGGTCAAATTAGTTTCATTGACATACATACTTACATAAATGAAGCTGTGTCTGTTCTAGCCTGTTTCCAGAGGTGAAGTTTCACTTAGGTTAGACCTGTACAATTTTCAAAAGAAAAATACAGAATTGTACAGTCCATTTTACTCCTTGACTCCAGCTTGTGAAACTGATATGTAACATTTGGCCTCACTAAGAAAGCTGAGTTGTTTTATTATGAAAATTCTACAGTTTGGTGGCAAAAAGACCCCCAGTACCTTCAGCTATATCATTAAAATGTTAAAACAGCAGATATTCTGGAAATCCGTTTTGCCTGCCAATAAATGTGCAAATTGTATGTTGGTTTAGTAATTTTTAGCACTTAATAGCAGTAGTTGGGATAAATTTAATGTGGCGCTGCTTGCATGTTTGTTTTTACAAATAGAATACTAGTATCTATAATGATTGATTTACAACTTTAAAGAAATGGTATTTGTGTTCCTATTGATCATATTGGCCAAGGCTGATACAGTTCAAAACATTTGGAGCTTTCTGGGAAAAGGCTGATCTAGAGTAAAGTTAAGATTATATAGATTTATAAGATTATAAATATAGAGTTTATAAAAATCATACATTTTTCATCACAGAACTTTGCACAAACTTACCAATAGTGCTTCATTCCTGTTTTACCTAAATTTCTAACATTCTGCAGATAAATAACACTAATTGGGGATAGTGGTTGTTTCTTTTTTAAACAAAAGAACATACATCTATTTGTAATTTTATCACTTATATCATATACAATATTATAGGTGTCTAACTGCGGCAGCTGCCTTAGAAGTGCTTCTGTGCTAGGAGACGTTTTAGGTCTGCTTTGGTCTTTTGTATTGTTCCAGAATATCAGGAATCTGTGGATCTGTCATAAATTAGACGGCTTACTTACAATGCTGTCCATCTAAAGTGTAAACCCCTTTCCAGGTTTATAAACTTCTTAGATGCTAGGTTTACTTCTCAGCAGATATCAAATCTCAGGAAAATTGTTAAGAGACAGTGTCTTCTTCTAAAGAATGATTAAAGCCTAATAGCTAAAATTAGCCTACCAAGCTTTAAGAAGCTCTCTAGTATATTTTATAAAACAAAATAAAAAAAATTGAATACTCCATGGCCTAAAATAGAAAAATGCTGTGTAGGTAGCAGAATGGCATTCTTAAATATGATACCCATTTGCCTTGCCGTCACAAGGATCCTATCTTGATGCTCTTGCTGGAGGCTGCCACTTGCCTGCTTTTGCTGAGTCTGTCCCTGATTAGAGAAAGTATATACAACTTTGAAACTCTGGTGCCAGGTTAATTGATGTTGCTGATTAAATACTTCCACCATGAGCAATCTAAAATTGTTTAATGCATTAGAAAATAATAGCGCCACTTGTGCAGATAGCTTGTACTCTTAATTTGGTGTATTTCTGCAAGAGGTGTAACCTACGTTTATTTTTTTTATTATTGCCAGTGTGCCAAATACAGATATTCCCACTTTGGTAGATGCCAGGTTCCTGTATTGGCAAGATACAGGCATTTTTGTGGTAATTGTGACACCATTGCTTAGGACTGCAAACGACTAACTTTGGTTACTTGCTTGCCAAAATTAACCATAGTGGTCATGCTAAATTTAGCATAAAAATGTCATTAGAGCATACAAGAAGACTTTGACTTCTGGGATCAGATTCTTTTTTTAGGAATACTTTCCAAGTCTTGTAGACCATGAAAAATAACAGGAAAATCAGGGGACTAGGACCTCAGTAGTATTTTGAGTTTCAAATTTCTCCATTTGTCTTATCTGCATAGCACATTTGTGTCTCTTACTAGCATATTTTTTTCAATCTTGTTGCCTGGCTTTCTTCCTGCATACTTTTTTCATGATCACTCTGTGACTTTGATTTCAACCTGCTGCCTTTCAGGCTTGAGTTCCACAGTTCTGTGATTTAGTTCATTTCTAAAGAACCCCCTTTTAAAATAGTGTTCATCAAATTTTGAGGAGCAAAATATATTCTTTTTTACACCCAGTGATCTTTATAACCTAATATAATTTTGGAATTATCTGTCTCTGTATTGCTAGCCAAAAGTTTTAAAACAAAATTTACTTCTAGTGGTAATGTTCCTAGTAGAGGTAACCCTTGAGTACTATTGTAATGGAGCCTGCCTATCACAGTTGTAACTCATATCAGGGGGTTGTTAGACCCAGGAGTAAAATGGCTGGAGCCTTCCTACTTCCGACTCAGTCGGAACTCGGTCACTCTTAACTTGAGGACCGTCACCCGTCTTAATCGGACGTTATATCGTAAGAATTGGAACCGTGGTGAACGATACTATCTCAAAACGACTTTTTACTCTCATTTACAGTCAAAAACTATTTTTCAAATATTAACATAATCAATTGACAATGGGATGATGGCAAATGGTTGGCGAGCAAGTTGGAACTTTTGAATTTGGGACATAAATACCACCACCACCCCCGGCAGAATTTGAACAGACTGATTGTAAGTCGGGTACAAGCTGTATTAATTTTAATTACTGCTAGTAACTTTCTTTGGTCTGGGCCATACTTTTTAACCTTCATAACTCTCAAACTGCCCAATTTTTGCATGACATTATTTCAGCTAGCAAGTCAGTAATGGGGTGAAAATTTTATGATGTATTTAAAAAAAGATTCCTCTGATTTCTACTGTAGTGGGTTGGTGAGAAAGATTTCACTGAGTTCAATTTAAAAGTGGCATGGTTTCGAGTGAAAAAGCAAAGTTATTAAGTATATTTTGTCATCCTCTGTCTCATACAGGTGACAGAACTGAATGAGCCACTGTCCAATGAAGAAAGAAACCTCTTGTCCGTAGCTTACAAGAATGTAGTTGGGGCCCGACGCTCCTCTTGGCGAGTAATTAGTAGCATTGAGCAGAAGACTTCTGCTGATGGCAATGAGAAGAAAATTGAGATGGTGCGGGCTTATCGTGAGAAGATTGAGAAGGAATTGGAAGCTGTGTGCCAGGATGTACTCAGTCTCCTAGACAACTACCTGATCAAGAACTGCAGCGAGACCCAGTATGAGAGCAAAGTCTTCTACTTGAAGATGAAAGGGGACTATTATCGCTATCTTGCTGAGGTGGCCACAGGGGAGAAGAGAGCGACTGTGGTGGAATCCTCTGAGAAGGCATACAATGAAGCTCATGAGATTAGCAAGGAACACATGCAGCCAACTCACCCCATCCGACTTGGCCTGGCCCTTAACTACTCTGTTTTCTACTATGAGATCCAGAATGCCCCTGAACAGGCATGCCACCTGGCCAAGACGGCTTTTGATGATGCCATTGCTGAGCTGGACACCCTCAACGAGGATTCCTACAAGGACTCAACGCTCATCATGCAGCTGCTCCGTGATAACCTAACACTCTGGACAAGCGACCAGCAAGATGATGACGGTGGTGAAGGCAACAACTAGAACCTTTGGATGGACTGGCAGCCGCACGCCGATGCTACTACTGCAGTCTTTATTTTTTTTCCCACAAGTGAAAAGTGGGGGGGAGGGGGTCAGGGGTGGGGTAGGGGAAAAGGAGGTGTGATCTTCCAGGGAGGCTCCCCGCAACCTGTCTTTGATTGCCTCTGTGACACTTTTGCCAAAACACCACTAGGGGAAAATCAGGCTGGCTGTGGTGGTATGGAGTAGAATAGCAGCCTCACAATGGCATATGGACTGTTCAGTTGATTATTAATTCAAGGGGAGCTGTCTTTAAGTTATCTTAATTGCTAGGCATACATGAAGTTAATGATGACTAACTTGAATGGAATGGCCCTCTCTCTTTTTTTCCCTTGGTTTGATTTCTTTTTGTTTGTTTGTTTGTTTGTTTGAGAAGCTGTTCTGTGGTTCCAGTAAGGTTTCCCAGTCATTCTCTTCTCAATGAAATGTCACACTATGTTAAGATGAAGTTTTTGTCTTGTCTCTCTACTGTCCACCTCCAATTTTGGAAGATTTGAGTTCCCATTTATTATGGCGTAATTTTAAAAAGATTCCAAGATTCTAAAATCATAAGCATTGGAGTTTAGGTGCTGGAGATGGCCTGCAGTATTAACCGTAAATTACAGTTTACAGTATTTCTACACAACAGCCATATTTTACACCAAGCTTTTTGAGTTTAAATTTGCTTCTTCTTTCTGGCTTAATGTTCTTTTGTAGCTTGCATCTGGGAATCAAGTTTTCCAGATGTCTGAATACTACATGAAAACCATTCATCTTCTGATCCCTTTGCCATATTTTAATAGATGCTTGGCAAGCAGTTATATGAAGTACAGGAATTCACAGGAAAGGATTCAGAATTTAAATTGGACAAGAGAAGTTCTTAAAACATAATGCCACTTGACTATTGTTAATCCAGACCTGTATTTTTCTCATTCAGTGTCTGGAATTTTCCAAGGCCATTTCTTTTTCAAAGGAAGAGGAAAGGTGTCATAGTGCATCCTCAGGGATCCTGCTGTCAGTTTGCTCATAATCTTAGGTTTCTCCTAGCATAATTAAAAGATTCTCAGCAGATCTCCTCTGCCTCTTTTTCCCATGCCTCCGACCTTTCCTTTGTTGCCCGTATTGAAGGCAGAGCCTTTCTGTATTGCAAGCCTATGATTATAAGTGAATCTATCAGGATAGAAACATCAACAAAGAAAAGTGTCTGATTCCAGTATCCTTTTTAACTAAACAAGATTTAACAAATCTTGGCCTATTTCAAACATGTACAGAAAATTCTGTTCATTTGCGATACTTAATATACTGGGAATTGGGGGGAAACTACAGCTGATCAGGAATTTTTGTCATCCATTTATGGAAATAAATCATAGTGGTTGGAAATTCACTGCTTTTTTTCCCTTCGTTAATTATAGGGTTTTTATTTTAAATACAGCTTTTGTTAGTCAAAAGCACCTTAGAAGAAAACAGGGCTCTAATGATTTCCATTGTACAAATAGATTTATTTCCCTCTGTGGAAAAGAAATTTGTTTCTCATGATGGCCTAGACTTTTTTCTATTTTGTTTGCTACAATGCACCTGGACAGTAGGGTGAGCTTTCTTGACTGTCTGCAATTCCAAAGAAAGTAAAAGTTTAAGATGGGTTGATATTGCAAAAAGCTGGCAAATCAGCATCAATGTATCCAGTGCAGATACATTTCAACAAACATAAATTGTACTTTGTTGCAGTGTGGTAATATACATTCAGTGACTTTCCCTTCAGGGCCACTTCAGTAAAGTGCCACACCAGTAGCCTGCTTTGTGCATCCTGCTGGCTCTACTAAGGAGGAGAGGCTTGCAACTTGAGTGACTGAGTGAAACCTCTAAGAAATACTGTGGACTGGAAGGACATTTTAAGGCTTCTCTTTAATTTGCAGTCATGTTGTGTGAGCAGTGCGTATCCCTGGCTTTGATTTGGAAGTGATTTACTGGAATTACAAAACCTTTCTTGATTTTTTTTCCAGCTTCTAGCTCTGGCTGCTTTAGGAAAACTTTATGCAGGGGAAAAAGATCGCACAAGAGGGCTAAATATGGAGTGGGGGGCAGGGGGTTGGGGATGCGAGCAGCTTGAATGGTTTCTTTCAATTTTTTGTTAAAGAAATGCACTTGCCTATGATAACTGTTTCTCCAGTGAAATGAATAACTGCTCCATTATTCTATTGATACAATATTGTGCATGCTGGTGTTGTATTTCTATAAAGTAGCTTGAAATTTATTAACTTATACTGTAGATGTTATGTATTCCTATGACAATAGTCTTCAACAATTTTTTAAATTTTTTTAATTTATTTTATTTTTCCTTTTTTGGGGGTAAAGTTTGCTCTACCAAATAGTGATCGTAACAAAACTGATCTGTTATGGATGTTGCTATAGTGACATGCAATTATATATGATTTTTTTTAAAAAAAGGAAAGCAAAGAAAACACCAGTGTTAGCTTAATCTTAATGTCTGGTGTTCGTCATGGTGAAATTATAACTATTACAGTGTAGGAGAAAAATGACTATGTTCTTTGAATGAGCCTTTGTTTGTGCTTTTCTGTCATGTTATGCAGTGAACTCTTTTTAAGGTCTAATCAGTGATTATTTTTCCAACTCCGTGTTTCTGTAAGGAATTATTTCACACACGGACCATTCTTAGCAGTTTTCCTCAGTGATGGAATATCATGAATGTGAGTCATTATGTAGCCGTCGTACATTGAGCAAATAAACTTACAGATCTGATGTCCATGCTACTCCACTATGGTCTTGTGTTGGACTCTGCTTTATTCTTGGTAGCTGTGAGCAGGGGGTCTGGGAATGTGCCTGGCTGCCATTGTGTCCTCTGATGCAAGCTTTGCTAATGCTGGCAGTCCTGGAGTTCTGGTTGAAGTACTTCAGGAAAGGCGAGAAGGAGTGTTATATGAAGATGGTGACTAATGGTTCTTTAGTTAATGCCATTCCCTAAGCGTTTGGGAGGGGATTAGTTATTGAACCCTACTTAGGGATAATTTGTACCCAAGTCTGTTTTCTGACAAGGGGGTTGTACAGCATTTTCTGACTGACATTCTGTCAAGGAAAACTGGAGGGGAAACGTAAAAGCAAAAAATGTTTTAGTAAGCCTTAAAAACATTACAATCAGTTTCAGTTATTAATTTGTAGAGACCTTGGGCAGATTTAAGAGATCTGTATGTATCATCTGAGGATTCCAGAAAGAGCCATCAGGGATCCCAGAAAGTGCATTCACTTCCAGAATCTCAAATATGTGTATGTTTGAAGGTAGGTAGTTTGCTCATCCATTGAAAATGTCACATGATGCACACTTGGTATGTATAAGGCATGCCATACTCATCATCAGATGCCTCTTTCCCCCTTTTCTTGAAGCCTTGTGAAATTTCAGCTCTTGTCAGAAAGTTAAATGAAAAATGCAGTTTGGCAAATAGGAGCCTCATTTTGATGCACTGTTAATTGCTGCTTAAATTTATAAGACAGACCCTAGAACAGTGATGACGAAGCTTTTAGAGACTGAGTGCCCAAAACCCGCCCCCCACTCCGCCTGCCCACAGGGCCATGCACTGCTTCAATAGGCCCGCCATAGCAGATCACCCAGGCAGCCCTGCAGCACCATGGCAGCCACGCCCTCAGCTCGCACCCCACAGCATCTGCACACTATGGAGCGCGAGGGCGGAATCTTGTCCCTGTATGTACTTGGCTGCGCTGCTCCATGCCGGGGGGCAACTCTCCTCCAGGGGGGCTTCTGGAGAGGAGGGGGCCACGGGGAGACGGGGCTGGGGTGATGGCGCGCATGCCTACAGAGAGGGCTCCGAGTGCTGCCTCTGGCACGAGTGCCATAGGTTCGCCACCACTGCCTTACAAGGTCTATTAACTGATCACCCTAATCTGGTGTTATTTAAATATATTGGTCTTTAACTCTGACAATTCAAGAGAAAAGACGGTGACTAGGAAATTGTAGTCTAGTATCTTGAGAACATCAGTTTGAAGAAGCTGGTATAGTTGTCGTCACATGTTGTGAATCTTGCATTCTTTCTCTATTGTGATCACCAGGAGACTAGCCCAGTTCAACTTTTTAACTTTTTAGCTGAAGATTTCATATTCTTGAGTCACACCTGAATTCATTGGTCAGCAACCCCATGCCTTCCAGACCCTACCATTATGGTCTGTCTATTATGCATAAACTTGTTGAGAGCTTAGGCCTGTTTGATATAAAGTTGTAAGAGGTTAAAATTATTTTAAGGTATTTACTGAATCCCATGCTTTTCTGAAGTATTTTCTGAGTTGAATTGTGGGGAGTAGTATCTCCTTAAACTGTTTTCCTTGTAACCTTGTATCCAGTTTTGTTCATGTTGTCACACTAGCACTTTGTCACCATCAATACTGTCTCTATCAAGCTCAAAGAATAAAAATCTCATTGTTCGATATTACACACACACCTCTGTCACTCCAAAACTGGGGAGGCGTCAGAGTGCTCCTTGCCCTTTATTTTATCCAAAATTATAATTCTGTTAATCTCTTCTAAAATGTGGATCATAGCAGGGGTGGAAATCTGGGAGTAACTTAAAGGATAGTAGAATAATGTGAGAGCTTTCAAGTTCATAGGAACATAACACCCAGATGATTAAAATTCTTGGGAAAATTGGGAAGAGTGAAAGTAGGTTACAACTTTAAATAATGTTAAGTAGTTTCCAAACATGTAAATTGGTTCCTATCAGACACAGCTGCATTAAATTGCACCAGGGATTTGCTAGGAAAAAGAAGCCAGCAAGCAAAGGTTCGGTTCTGGTTTTCAGGAGTAAAAAAAACAACAATTGCTAAATCTAAACTAGGCTTGTATCTAACTATTGTAGGTTAACAAGTCAAGAACTTAAATCAGACTGATCTGGTCATGGATGGGCATGGAACTCAATCCAGATGAATGTGTTTCTAGTTTAAAGTCACTTTATTAACTGTCCCTCTTTCCTAATGGTTTAAATGCAGATAAAGTGCCTTTTAAA